CTCAATTTTTTTAATAAAAAATGCATTGCTAAATAGCATGGATTTGTAAGCCCATAACTCCTCCCAGATGGCCTGATTTGTATTCTTCTTAAGTGGGAACAATACTCCACCATAATCTTTGCCTCACCGACCTGACAGTTTTTTCTTGTTGTGTCGGCGTAACTATGACAGCCTTTTGCAAAAAAAGCAAAGCTTGCTTCGTGATATCTTGCACTTCAGTGTCGCTATTATACTCTTCACTCTGATAAGCCCTCTAATTAAGTTAGACGAAATTGAAGTAAAATTATTCTTGCAACTTGAGAAGATCACCATCCTTGGTTTGTCTACACTTTCACATATCTTGATTTATGACGAAACCTAAAATCGTTAAGCATCTAAATGAAGTTGATATTTTATTTAATAAGAATGGGCTATTACTACTCTTGGCAATGATGCTGCTATGACTTGCTTCCAAGCCAGAAAGTGTCCTATAATTTGGTTTTATTTTGGGTGATGGCAGAGTGAGATTTCATGTGCAGGGTATAAGGTACACACCCAAATTCAAATGCTGGTTAATAAAATTATTTATCCAACGTTTCATTAATTGATCGAATCATCTTACTTCATTTATCTTTCCATGCCTATCTATCCACGTTAACTTTCGTCGTATTCACCCACAAGAACGATACTCGGTTGGGAGGGTAAATTATTCGCATAAAAAAATTCGGAATAAGTTAGTAAAAAAAGTATTGACTAATTCAATTCGTTCATTCATCAATTCATCATTCATCATTCATTTTTTAAACAAACTGTATATCTTTATAACTAATTGTGAATAGCAATTACACTTTTAATGGATGTAGACAAGATAAAAATATTGTAAATTATAGGCTTATCTTTTATGCATTCCTGACCAGCTCCAACAGTTGCCGTAAATTTAAAGCAAATTATCTCTTTTCTTTTGCGGACAGCTAATGCAAGGAATACCATAGACCAGTAAGTTTGAGATACAGCTATCATAGTCTATCTGCTGATACTATGAAAAGTTATTCCTTGAGTTTTAATACTGCTTTTCTTTGAACTTATTAAATTATCATCAAGTAAGTAGATCAAGTGGAGGTAGGGTGTATTTGGAAGGGGTAACTATTCACTTCTAAGCAAATTAATAAAGCTTCTTGACAGATAACCCGAATAGTGGAAATTCTAGAAGGCATATGCTACAATCTGGCCTAATTATGAAAATAAAAATGCCATTTGTTGTATTATAAGTTCCATTCTATGCCATTCCTTTTATTCTAATCAGTTTGAGTAGTCTTATAATCGGTTCACTTATTGCCGCTTAAGGGATAATCCGATTTTCCTCACGAAGATTTCCATTTTAGCTGTTTCAGTTGAAATGACGCTATGTAAGCCATTTATTTGGTAATAAAAAGCTAAATTCAGCTTTCAAATACTGGCAGGCTGTGAAACTCTGGGCGACCAATCTTCATAATCCATGCTCTTCCCAGTTAACTATTTCACTAGTCATGTTATTTTAAACAAAGTCAATTACTTCAACGTTACATTATGATTTGGTACTTATTCTTTGGCATAGGGCTTCCATAGACCGAGATTTGGGACTAGAAAAATCTTTAGATAGACTGGATAGTTTTAAGAAGCATTGAGATTTTTTTCTAAGATCGTCTGTAGAATCAGATAATCCTGAATGGAAATTGACCCTGTCGTTGATGATTTGATCTCAACGGGCCTTATTATTTAAACTCAACTGAAGCTTAGACCTCGCTCGGATCTCAGCCGCAATCCAACAAAGTTCGAATCCTATTCCTTAACACAAATCAGCAACAGATCTCTCCGACAAACTGTCACGGCTGCCATTGGGTCCCAGGGCAGAGGTGACTTTCATGGGAAGCCAGGCCACTCCAAAGTTAGATTGAAATCGTCGAGCTAGTGCCAACAGGGCAAACTGGAGTAGCTATTGTTTTTCACATCAAATGGGCGGGTCACTGGGTCCGCAAATGGTGAAAATGTACTTGAGATATCTAATATTAGATGATTTCAACCAATTTCGATTAAGGTGATAAAGGACTAGTAGAAGTAGAATTTTCCCACAATCATATGAATTGAGCTGACATTTCCGTTGAATTTCACATAGACCAGCTTGCCCAAAAGTTGTTCTCATCCAGGCCTCATTGTCACGGTTCGACTCCCACTATGCGAGGTCGAAACTGCAGTCCACTGGTGCCTGGATAAGAACAAATTTTGGCAAAGCAAGGCTATGTGAAATTAAATTGAAACGTCAGCTCTACTCATATCAATGTGGGAAAATTCTTCTTCTACCAGTCCTTCATCACCTTAAATGAAATGGGGGAATACATCTCATATTACTGATATACTGGTAATTCAAAAAATATCTAATATTGTTTGAGAAGATGTAGGGAGTAATAGTTACACTTTTGGCCAGGCGAAAAATATTAGAAAACTCAATTAGGAGACCGAAACAAGAGGAAAACACCTTCTGAGCGGCAAAGTAAAATAAAATTTGCGGTCATTTTAGGATTGACTCTTCATTTCCCAGTTGGAAATTAAACATAAAGTGCCTAATTCATCTTATGAGATGTATTCACATAATTTCGTTTAAGGTGATCAAAGACTGGTAGAAGAAGAATTTTCCCACAATTATTTGAGTTGAGCTGACTTTTCCATTCGATTTCACATAGCCTTGCATTCCCAAAAGTTGTTACCATCAAAGCACCAATGGACTGCAGTTTCGACCTTGCTCAGGTCTTACTAGCACCTAGAGCAGGATTCGAACCGTGCGGTGCAGGATGGGAGCTTGACACGCTAACCACTCATCTACACTATTAAGAGCGCGTTTTGGATCACAGGTAAAATGTGAAATTTTAAGAAGGATCAGGCCTCTTTGCCATACCATTTTCTTTTTAGTGGAATTGTCGATGAAGCAAACGTATATTTGCTATAACAATAGACTAATATACTTTATTTTTCGAATCAAGTATTGTTTACGTGACTACCAGTAAATCAGTAGTATGAGATGTATTCACCCTATTTCGTTTAAGGTCAGGAAGGACTGGTAGAAGAAGAATTTTCCCACAATCATATGAGTTGAGCTATCATTTCCATTGAATTTCACATATCCTTGCAGTCCACCCTGGATGAAAACAACTTTTGGGAAAGCAAGTCTATGTGAAATTGACTGGAAACGTTAGCTCAACTCATATCATTGTGGGAAAATTCTTCTTCTACCAGTCCTTCATCACCCTAAACGAAATAGGGTGAATACATCTCATATTACTGACTTACTGGTAGTCTCGAAACTCTGACCATTAAGGAAAACTGAACAACACTGTCTGTAGGTTTTGACGTAAAATCTATGTACACAAACAAATTCCAAGCAAAAAGGTATTCACAGCCCTCTTCGCTAACTTGGATCAAGAATAGTATAATCTGAGAGCAGATTGGATACAGCAGGCTTGAACAAGCTTTATCATCACGAGCTTATGGAACACGGTCTTTACACTCATCCGCAATACCTTCAACGATTTGGTGTACCTATATGATCTGAATGAGAACAACATTTGGGAAAGCAAGACAATGTGAAATTCACTGGAAACGTCAGCACTACTCATATCATTGTGGGAACATTCCACTACCAGTCCTTCATTGACTTAAACGAAATTTTGTGAATACATCTCATATTACTGATTTACTGATAGTCTCGAAACTCCACATAAATACGAAAAATAATTCATCTTAAACGAGATAAAGTTACTCGGGCTTAGGATTCAAGATATGCCAATAATTTTGAATATTACTCATTTAGTCACTAGTCAAAACGCTGAGCTTTGAACAATTACGAATAGTATCTATTGACATCTGCTTAATTGTAGGTATTTATGTCATTAAATTATCCAACGTCGCAATCATTCTTTCCTTGAAATAATTCAGGAGATTAGCATGCCAGTTCTTCTTGCCGTGCCCATTTTGCCACAATAATTGTGAATTTTTATATTGAGTCTTAAGCGATTGTTTAGCTTAGTTAGTAAATATGGGCACGATGCGCATCGACTCATTGTTTTCAGTCATTTCATTCGATGTGATAACCTTATTTTCCCTCTGTAATTTCATATTTTAATTAACACTTTGTACGTCTTTGTGACTGAAAGTTGAGCTTTGCTAAAATCAGCTGGTTGGGCCTTACGATGCCTTTGAATGTCTTCTAGCCTTGCCAACCTAAAGGCTATCTCAACCTTGCTGGGCAGGACTGGATTTGAGGATCGACTTCGCCTCACCGTCCCGTCAGCACGCGAAACAGGATTCGAACTCGGGTCATGATTATCACGGGGACATGAGCAGCCCTACTGCTAGTGGGTCACAGGGCAGAAGTGAAAACTAATTTTATTGTGGGATTGGTGTTTACGCAAGCATTTGCTTTCCATTTCATTCATCAAGGCTACTTATATTCGATGCGAGTAGTGTTCGGTATTATCACGAATTCTCGAATAAGAAATTAAACCTAAAATAAGCAACTTCAATGATTTAAAGTAGCGGTTTCATGTTTTACACTCTAAGAATCTGTGTGGATATAAAATCCGCCCTGTGTCCTAATCTTTGCCGTAACAGGTTGGTTGAAAGTGGTATGGTCGCTATGCTGCATGACTATCGGAGCTTTGATGGAATATAATGGTTCGCTTTTCTGATTGTGGCAAAACTCTACTTTCTGTCTGTAAATCACCGAAAGCGACCTAAGCTAAATTATAATTAAAGTATAATGGCTAGACAGAAAATAAAGTTGAAAACAGTGAATTGATGTGACTAACACTTTAACGACAGGGATTGCCAATTAGACAAGCATGTACTTTTCATAGTATTTGCCTCGAGTCCATCAGGAGTACATAACCAAAACCACCTTAGGCGAATTAGGCTGACAAAGTTCTTGTTGAAGAGGTCTCTAAAACCGGCTATACCAAAAATGCTATAATCAGGTTTCTCTCTGCTTGAGCATGTACAGGAGCATAGCCGATCTGTGGTGTGGACACTCCCGACAAAAGTGGGCTGTCCACGTGTTTGCCGGAGTCTGGTCGCCTTGACCAGATGTTTTGTATGGAAAAATGGGAGAATTTGGTAATCCGTTTTGCGTTCCTGCCTTCTAGGCCGATTTTCGCGAGTTAGAGGGTGCCAAAGTCAACCCAAGAACAAGTGATCGTGTCACCGACGCATTCTCACCTGACGACAACAAAAGTTCTCAACCTGATCTGATAATCACCGTCCTGGACGTGATCCGCGCACTGAAATTGACCGGTAGGCTCACTGAAAAGGTCGCAGAAACCAGTCGCTCGCTTCCAGGACAACAAAATATGGAATGAAATCTAACTTTTGCGAAAGGAAGATATTGAAAATTATTTTTTCTGAATACGCCAATTAAATAGAGTTATAAATGCGTTTAATCCTAATTATTCTATTGATTCAAGATAAGCACAATTATGTGCATCAATCAGTTAAGAGTTGCACAATGTTAACTCTGTCCGAGACTTTGTGCCTGTCTATCTATCATCTTTTAACTCTGTATCTATTTACAGCTATCTCCGTATGCTCATTAGCCTTCTGTATGTATGTATGTCGGTATTTCTGTAT